TTGTATGTTTCTTTTCTTTCGTTCTGATGCGTCACACGATGAACGAATATACGATTCTCTCCAACATATAACATGCAACAGTGACAGAACGAAAACAATTGACTAGTGTGAATGAATGAATGAATGAGTGAGTGAGTGAATGATTGCAATTTCTTTCTAGTCTATGATCTGGCGAGAAAAATGACGATTTTTTTAAATTGAGCAAACTCAGAATGATTGGATAAAACTTGTACCAAAAATCAAGCGTATTTTTCTGATTCTAGAAATGTGATGCGTAGTATGGCCTCGCAAACTACTCTTGAGATATTTGCGAAATGAGCGCCCTCTATAACACATTTTAGTCCATATCTCAAGAGTGGTTTGCGGAGCCATACTGCGCCTTACATTTTTAGAATCAGAAAAATAAGCTTGATTTTTGATACAATTTTCATCCAATCATTCTGAATTCGATCAAACTCAAAATTATCACATACTTTATCACCACGTTACGTACTATTCATTTTCAGTAAAAACAACGGACAAACCACATTTAGTGCTTGAAATGAGCAAAATTAGCAGAAGAAAATGCCAAAAAAATGAGCATAGCTATAGAAGAAAATTTCCGAAAAGCCATTATAGAAGGTTACGCACAGTAGAGCGTCACCAAAAAAGGCCGATTCACTGGAACGTAATAGAAGGCCATGTCTTTTTATTTTGGAGGAGGTTGTTGTTTTAAAAGCACTCGTTTTACCAGCGAACAGTTTTTTTTCTTTTTTTGATTGAAATATCTGTTTCTTTTCGCTGCACAAGCGCAACATAATTAAAGTAAATTCACTTTCTAACGATGTACAGAATGTCCCAAAAGTCATTTACCAAAAAGAAAATCGTGTGTCTCCATTGTTTCTTGACCACGCTCGGCAATTTGTTTTTGTTTGAAAGAGAACTGTTCTAGGTTTTATCTCAACTAGAGATCTACAATATATTGCGCTCTTTTGAAACCAAGACGCTAGTAGTAATGATGAACGCAAGAGACAGTGTTGAGGAAGATGCTGTAGGGACCCCTCAACTTTTATCATTCTCACAACCTCATCATCATATTCAGGATGAAAGAGCTCATCGATTTGGGTATATTTGTAACAGAATCGTTTACTTAAAACTGGCTAAGAAGAGTTTTGGTTGATTCAGCCTCTTTTTTGTGAGTCATTTCATAAGTTGACTTGACTCTAGTCGTTATGGGCATATCCAAACTAAGCAGGTTCCGTTACAAGAAACGCTCCACTTCGGGAGCTCTTTGATCATAATACTTGCTCTTATCGCGATCTCTCATCACATTATTAATCCCATTACATGTATCATCTAACTTTCTTTTCTTTAAGGAATTGGAATTTATACATAACTCGTCACTTTGTCTGACAGTCTAATCCAATAAATAAAAGTCTAGTATATTTTTTCTATTTTCGTTATAAACTTATGGTTCTGGTGACAAACACAAATAATTTATCCTCTTCTTTCTTTCAACACATGTTGCCATCATTTTGATTGTTCTTGCGGTTATCAGAAAGTCTTTTCCAAGCAACTTTCATCGCACAAAAGAATATAGATTTTAAGTACAATCAATGCTGGGAATTTTTCAGTATTTATCTTTCAATTGATGTAATAAATAGAAGCGACATGGCAACTGAAAGCACTACAGAAAAAACATGTAATATCTATTTGGACGAATAATATCATCGTTACCCATCGTCTCAGTTGGTGTTTTGTGCCATTGTTATTCAGTTCAGTTGATTTTTATCGCCATTTTATCCTCTCTTCTCATCGCGATAAAACTACTCATCCAGCTACTAGCAGATAACTAAAGTTATTAATGACAGTGTTATAGTAGATAAGCTAAAGAAATACTATGACTCTCTCGTTTAACTCTAATTACATCGCAAGAGGAGAAAGTCTGAGTGATCTTTATTCCGTTATTTTATTCCGATTCTGAGATACGGACTGACTTAAGTGAGAATTTAGATAGGACGACAAACAGACTATAGGATGTGCTGCCACAAATGAAGCTTCCATTCTCAAAATGACAAGACCATAATTGGAATCCTAAACAGTTCTAGTTTTCCATAACCAAAACCAGACGGACACTTTTTTACAACTGAACCCGAACCGACATCGAACTGGAAAAGGAACCAATCATTTTCACAGTTTTTTTTGTTAAGTAATCTTATACAGTATATTTTAAATTCGAACTACATATTCTGAAAGCCTGCTTTTTAGTCAGAAGAAACTCCAGAACAGCTTTAAAACAAGTATACATCAACAAGGGAAAAAAGTTGATTTTTCGTCATATGGAGCCAAAAAAAGAGCTTTTTTCGCCTTGTTCAATGTATATTTCAGTATTCATTGGAGATGAAAAGTTGGTTTTTTTAAATAAAGGACTATTTCTAAGCCATCGAAGTAATGAAAAGAAATTTAAAATTTGTTGAATGAAATAAGTTTTATAAAAAGAGATTCTCCAATCACCAACTAGACAATGGTTATGCAATTCACTCGTACATATTATACATTATACTAGAGACGGGAAACATAAGACAGAGACAGATAGCATTAGTAATCATTGCATAGTATTTCTTTCTCTCTATTTCAACAATATAAATTTATCTTCCCTTCATCTGACAAAATATTTCGACAATAAGTTTCGACTTTTTGTTAGGAAAATACATTACCAGTATGTCTCTCCTTCATGTGAAAATACATTAACAATATTTGTCTAGCTCCTACGGACAAATTACGCGTAATATGTTTTTCTTCTTCATCAGAAAATATATTGTTAATGTATTTCTACGTCTTCAGAAAAAATATACGAGCAACGTGTATCTACTTTTTATAGGAAAGTTATTACTAATACGTCTCTAGTTTTTATGGGAAACTCCTACCTTCCTCGTGGAAAGATAAATAAACAAATCGTCTCTACTTCTTATAACGAAAAGTCAACAATATACAGTCGGGGACAATTGAATTTATACCCTTTGAGTTTTTGGGTTTTCATTGCTATAACTTGTTTGTTTTTAAACTTATTATATATAGGAAGAAAACTCCGAAGACGCTGCATCTAATGGTATACTTATGTTAAACAACAGATGCAGTTTGAAAATATAGTAACATTTTTCATTTTTGCACGATAGATTCACATTTATTATTTATTTCAAAAATCAAGAAGTGTAAGAATTTTTGCAGTAACTTTCGATAGAAATAGGATTGAGCTCTGCAGTTTTCACCATTTGAAAGAGGAGATGAAGCCGCTTCGGATATCATACTTCAGATATTCCTGATAGCTTTTATCGACGGGCTTTAGTCAAGTTCTTTAAGATGTCGACGCTTCTAGAGACGAAAAAATGGGATTTTTCAGAAAGAACACAGAAAAAAGTCACTTTTTCAAAAGACTTAGCTAAAGCCCGTCGATAAAAGCTATCGGGAATATCTGAAATATGACATCCAATGCGGCTTCATCTCCTCTTTCAAATGGTGAAAACTGCAGAACTCTATCTTATTTCTATCGAAAGTTACTGCAAAAATTCTTACTCTTCTTGATTTTTGAAATAAATAATAAATGTGAATCTATCGTGCAAAAATGAAAAATGTTACTATATTTTCAAACACCCTTTTCATACTTCATACTGCATCTGTTGTTTAACATAAGTATACCATTAGATGCAGCGTCTTCGGAGTTTTCTTCCTATATATAATAAGTTTAAAAACAAACAAGTTATGGCAATGAAAACCCAAAAACTCAAAGGGTATAAATTCAATTGTCCCTGACTGTATCTCATTTTTGCGTGAGAAAATAATATATTATTCTTGTGTTTTACTTAAACTACATATTATGTTTTATATTACTGTATAGAGACGAAGAAAACAGAAAGAGACAGATAGTTTTGATTATCGGCAACTCGTAGCAGTTTCCTATCAAATACATACTATATTTCCCTCAAGATCGAAGAACGAACAGTTCTCTTCATATCAAAACAGGAATATGAAAATCAACTTGCTGCTAGCAATAATCCTTCTTCTAATTTCTCATTCGAGTAAGCATCAAGTATACTGTTTTTCCCAGCCTTAGCTTTAATTTTGTTTTGAAATTTTGCCAGCTCTAGCACTGAACACCACTGATTCCAAAGCGGATAGACCAGATTCAAGTTATGGGACAGGCATTGTTAACACGCAGATTCATACCATTGTTGACTACCACGGACAACAAATCTATATCTACAAGTCACTCTCAAATGATCCGAAAAACCTAATCTATTATTACGTGCCAATTATGTTTCCCAAGAAGAAACTAGACACTAATTGGATATGGACTTCTGGCAGAGGCGAGCTACGTCTCAATGTCATGTTTGGTAACGATGACATTGACGATATGGCACGACAAGAAATTGTCAAAACAGGAGAAACTAGAAATTTTAAAGTGGCTCCGCTCATCATCGATTCATTTTCAGCCTTCGTTGTTAATGAAGATAATAAGCCGGTGGCTGGTGTACACCCATTTCGTAGAATACATCCCAATGATAAAACAATGACAATTAGATTTAAGTGTTCATCGGAAGTCATTGCTCAGGAAATCATGTCACGTGTCATCGATGGCGATTACGATGTAGAATTTGCATTCTTCTTTGCTGGTCTCAACAAAGTCTCAACAAGTATGGTGTCAATCACTAGCGATTCATTAAAAAGTGTTCTCTCAAAAACAACAGCTGACGGAGGAAATACAAACGCAACTTTTATTCATAGAGGCCAGGTCAACAAATGTGTTTCTAGCTATCTAGCCAACGTTAGGAAAATGATTTACAAAGAAGATCCAAAGTCGAACACATCCAGTTTAACTGCTGGATTAGAAGACCAATTCTTTTCACTAATGCACCAAGGTCAGTCGCTCCTTATAAGTAGTTTGATATTCTGAGATCAGATTTTTAACCAAAAGAGTAAACTTTGATGCATTTTGCGTCCGTATTTCATCTCTTCTTTTAGCCATGGATAACTCAAAACAAGAAAAATTAGATCTGAATATGTATGGTCAGCTTTGGTCTTCTAATGACTTAAATCCTGATCGTCTTACTTCGGTACTCAATAAAATCTTCACTTATAATCAGGCGGAAACTAATTATCGTAATACAAGTGATAAATATTATGACTTTCATGAAGAATATGCCAAATCATTGGCGGTGTCAGCAGCATTTAAAGGCTCAGCTGATATCCTTGCAATTACATCAGCAAGTATGGATGTATCTGCATCAGTTAATAAGGCTGAATCGGGTGCTACCGGAAAAACAACGCATGATGTTATCTCATTGACAGATATTAAAAAATATCTTGATCAAAAGTCGATAGAAACTGAATGGAAAGGAGAAAAGATTATACCAAAATCATTTCAA